TCTCCAGTAAATGCCGGGGACCTGATTAGATAATCAAGTTTCGATTTTTTTAAAGTTTTGTTTATTTATTTTATTTATTAGTTTTTTGAGATAAGGGTTTCTCTGTGTAGCTCTGGCTGTCCTGGAATTTGCTCTGTAGACCAGGCTGGCCTCCAACTCAGAGATCTACCTGTTTCTGCCTCCCAAGTACTGGGATTAAAGACATGCGTCACCACGTCTGGCATTGTTTTAATTTAAAAAAAAAAATCCACTTTTTTGTGTAAGGCCACTTCCCTATTAAACAGATCCTAGGAGCATGGAGTCAAACATTTCAGGGTTGTCTAATCTGGAGCTTACATGCTTGATGGATCATTAGCAGGCTGTTAGCAGAGAAGGAGAGGCTATAATGGAGGTGGTGGGAGAGGCAGAAATGTGGGCTGCCCACTCACACTCCTACCTCTCCGTATTCTGGAAAACCAGTAGGTATTTCCCCCTTTGCTCGACTCACCAAGTGATTTAGTTTTCTTCTCTTCTTTACCCTGCTAAGTAATCTTAAAGAGACGTTGATTGGCAGCCTGCTTCAGGCTTCCCACACAGCTAGGTAGAACTCCCACCCATTCCTAAAATGAGCCTTGCATTTGATATGCCTTATTTTCCCACTGCAGTCTCATATTTAGATATCTGGCAATTCTTAAAGGACAGTGTCTGTGTTCTTTTCCCAGCACTATGTCAACTAAAAGTACCATAAAGGGAAAAATAGCATGATACTGGTCCATGAGACAGTATAAGAATAAAAATTTACTGTTTTCATTTTTAAGTGTAATATATATATAAAAAAAATGTAGCAGGGGAAATAGAAGGAACGGATGCCCTATCTTTTTCCCCCTAACATGTCTTCTAAAATGAAATGCCCATGAACTGTATCCTGTAACCTGCTGGAGTCTACTCTAGTGGAGACTGCCCTGGACAGCTGTTAGAAGCAGTGGTGCTCTTCGGACCTGGAGCACTCACCCTGCAGCTGGATGGGGAACTCCCTGGCTAAGAGCCAACTGGTGACTTTTCTGCTGACGCTGTCAGCGACACAAGTTGTTGCAGATGCCTTCCCTTGCATTCTTCCCTGCACTTTTGAGAGTTGACATGATATTTTTTTTGTGCATCCCCCCCCACCGCGTTCTCCTTGCTCCGCTTTCTCCTCCTCCCCCCCCACAGAGGGTTTGCTGGCATTCAGATGGCAGGCCTGGCATGCCACCTATGGAGAATGGCCTGTGGCACTGAGCCTAGATGCCGAGAGAAAGTTGGACTTGGAATTTGGGGATCCTGAGTTTTGTTCCGACATTTCCCAACAGCAGCACTCACTTGAGTAGAGACAGATGGTTTGCAGCTAGCCCCTGGAGGAGAAGTTGCCTGACCTTGCATTTTGACAGCTGACCAAAAGGGCCTGTGCTTAGCCAAGAGTCTGAGCTGCCTCTTGGGCTGCTTTGGTTCTCAGAGGTCTCCTGATGACCATGGCCTAGAGGGCTCAATTTCAAAGAATAAGTTATGAAGGAACAGCTCCAAATTCCCAGTCTCAGAGAAGGAGGGTCAAAGGTGTATATATCTATGGGGAGAAAGGGGAGCAGGCTCTTTCCATGGCAGCCAATGCAGTGCTAATTGCCTGTAGTTAAAAATTGTCTTTCTGAACCTCAGAGCCACAGGCCTGTGAGCTTGGCTTATGGTTGCTGACAGGTCACCCAAATTCGTATCACAAGTAAGTGGCAGAATTAGGCATGAGTGTCAGGTTGGAATGGTACTCACAGGCCCATTTCTGTCTCACTGATTAAAAAGGATAAATGAATGTGATTGGACGAGCCTGTGATCTTAGCTCTCAGAGTGCTGAGACAAGAGGACCCTGAGTCTAAGGCCAGGCTAGGCTGCATAATAAGACCCTGTCTGGAGACACCAAGAGCTGGAGATGTAACTCACTGATAGGACACCTAAGTTCTGACTCTTAAGACTTATACCCAGACTCAGTACTTATATATAGCAGCTTTGTCTTGGCAGGATAATTCTTATATTTTTATGTGACTAGGCTTTTCTCCTCGTATTCTTGCCCCTTTGTAAGTCTAATGTTCTCATTCCTATAAACAATAAGAGCTCTATAGATAAATGCCAATTAATATCCCAGTGAGGTGCCTTTGGTGACATGTTTTTAGTCCTGACCCACCTTAATACTTTCTTAAAGTTTTATATACTCTATAAAACTAGTGAGCCAGTGCCTAGCCATCATGAAAAGACATGCTGCATAAATAGTAACACACCATCTTTATCCCATTTTATACATCCGAAATAATATTGTTAGGCAAATAGTCTTCCATACCAATTTCCATGTTTCTACAAGTCTGTTCAAAGTGTGGGTGGGTGTTTACACATACACACATGCATGAGTGCTTGTACATACACACACACATACACACA